CCGTCTGTCTTTTCTCTTCCCTTCTCGATGCGTATTGATCCGTGCACCGAGACTCGGAGGATCGACGAATCGAAGCGATCCCGCGATACGACGACGCACCGAGGTGTAATCGAGAGCTTGTTCTCGCGATATTTGAGTGTTAGCAGCTAGACGCAATTTTTACGCCACCTTTTTCTATAAGAGAGGAATAATTTATCGATCGATCGATTCGATCGATCGAAGGATCGCTCGTTAAGAGCAACGTACGAGTATGAGTTGATCTTGTATGAACGTTGAGAAGGGTGAACAACGATCGTGACCATCAACGAAATTGCAAATTCAAGAATGTTGTTACCTAGAAAGTAGCGGGGATTTAGAGAGAGGGAGGGAAGAGGGGAAAGATCCGAGATCGCTCGTAATCACGGCAATAAAACGGTTTGTCATCTTCGCCGTTCGAGTTGTTTGCTAGAGAACGGTAGCTTTACGACGGTAGCGCGTAATTTGTCGCTTAAAAGCGTTATCAGGTCCTTGGACAATAATATTGTGTCTCAAGATCCTGGAATTAATCTGAATTATTCGCGCGTATTTCCGTCCAGGGGAAATTTGTTTGCGCGGAGAAGATGATATGTCGACTCATTAGCGGGTTTATACGGCCGTGGCGATTAACACGGCCTCGCTAATAGGAACAAATCGTCCTTGGATCCATCGCCCATTCGAGTACTACGACCGGCTCAACGTCTTCCACTCGTGTCTATCCCCTTCTATCAACTTCGCGTCGTTTCGCGAAGACATTCTCGACGCGAAACGTAGAAAATCCGAAAAATACGAACGGAGAATCTCCCCTCGATTGATCAATTACATCGAGGCGTCGGAAACGTTAACAGATCTCGCGTGTGAAAATATTTTTCGCACACACACGCGTCACGCGAAAAAACCTAGAATGATATTGCCGTGATCGAATAGTCCACAGATACGCGATAACAGGCGAGCTTTCTCGCGGAATCTGTCACCGACAATTAACACTAGAATTATCGAACCTGTTGAAATGACGGGGTTATTTTTACAGCTGTCGAATAATAAAAATAAAAATATACACTTTTCCACGAAATTAATCTTCATCGAGATAGTATTATACACTTGTTTCTATTATGCAATTATATTATACGAAAGAGATATTGGCAAAGAAGCAGAGAATCGTAATTAGGATATCGTTTCTCGTCTTACGAATTTCATATTTGTATAATACTCGTCGAATATTTTTATCTCCATTTTGGAATCTTTTTAAATCAATTTTAAGATAACGAAAGAAGGATGTAAAGAAGAACACATGCAATCACGTACAAACTGTCCGACATCGTACATTGTCGATGTACAAACAACACGCATATAGTGGAACGTACTTGTGCACATGCTGAAGCTGTGTTTCATCGTTTTTAGCGTGAAACGTGACGGCATAATCGATATATGCGTCGTACGGTGGAATGCATCGCGGCGTGGTTCGAATGGATGCACTGTTGGAGGAAGGACGATAACCACTTATGCTAATAAATACCCTGTTCGTAAGATGTTCCCGCGTAATAATTGCTCGTAATGGCACATTATATCGGAATCTAAGTGGATAGTTTTCGTAGAATTCGTTATCTCCTTGGATGATTAACGCCATCATTTTATCCACGCGGATTCTGTAATTAAAACTGTAAGATAATGGAGAATAGTGTATGGTACGGTATCCGCCGATGAATATCGCGATAAAAATAGAAAAAAAAGGATAATAATAAGGATTGCACATGGATTTTTCTCTTAATATATCATTAAAGCGTAAATATAAAATGCGCGCTCGCGTTTTAACCTACTGTTCGAGTATAAATATAAACTATACCGAACGTTATATACAATTGGCCGAAAAAGCCTCCGTGCATTATCTTTCGCATAACGTGAAAATTTCAAATTGGAATGGAAGTTTATACGTGATATAGAGCATCCTCTCTTTGAGGATGGGCAAAATTATTCAAAATTTAACACACTCTAGAACACTTTTATCCGGGGATATTTTTTTTTACAGCACAGTGATATAAAGCATTGAAACTTAAATATTTTATATACCAAATTATACAAAATTTACCCTTATATCTCGTGCTATTACAAAGTTATATTTAAATAAGAACGCTAAAACTCTTTGAGAGAGAGTTCCGCTCTCTTAAAATAATACTAAAAAAAAAAGAAAAATAAAATCGTTTTATATCTATTATACCTTCTCTACATTCTCGCGTGACTTCATTAATATCAAAAATCTTTTTCAATTCCGATTATAACACGATTCATTAGAGTAGAGTTTGCGTAAGATACAAGGAGACTTTTGTGATCGATTATATACATAATTAAGAGCAATACTCTGAAAGAGTAGCGCGTAAAGGAAGCACACATATCGATTAATGAACGAAACGTTGGAGGGGAGAGAGAGAGAAAGAAAGAAAAAAAAAAGATGGGAAGAAAGGGAGGGTGTTGTAAAAACGCGTGGTAAATTTGACGAAGCGCAAGAGATTCCTGCCTAATTTCCTCTCCGGAATGGTCAGGACGGTGAAAGTGGGGCGCAATGGGATCGGGGGTCTCCGGTCGCTCGAGAAGTGTTGGCTGAAAAAAAACACGACATTAGGAGCTGGTAATTCCACGGGTGCTCGTGTCGCCCGGGCTATCATCGAACCCCCGTTATAAATGCGCTACATCGCGTTAGCCGAGGATCCATTTATAAAAAAAAAAAAGAAAAAAAAAAAAAAAGGGGGAAA